CAGATCCACTGCTAGAGTTTAAAATGACATTTTAGGGGTTGGAAAATTACTTGGACATCGTGAAATTGATCTCAAAATATTCGATAATGATATTTTCGCAACCCACATCGTCTTAAGACACCTCGAATCCAGAATCCATCCTCCAGATCCACTGCTGGACTTTAAAATGACATTTTAGGGGTTGGAAAATTACTTGGACATCGTGAAATTAATTTTAAAATATTTGATAATAATGATTCTGAGCATGGGGGCTTCTTTGGGTGTCGAAACTAAACGCAAACACACTGGGCCCGCTTGATCCTCGATAGCAAAGTGATTTCCTGACGGGGCGTAGAGCGGAGGCGTGACCCTTTCACTTAGGTTAAGTGGATCCACTGAAATTTCACCAGGCGTCGTGTTCTGCTCTAGAAAAATTGCGGTAATCGCCGCTAAATAGAAAAATAGGATCGATACACGGCTCGTCCTCGAATGAAACCGCTCTGGATGTATTTTTAAATTTCGGTAAAAATGAATTCCTGAGGGACAGGCTTCCGGTAACTGTGCCTAATCGAAATTCAATAAGAACGGACCTGTTGCCAGCGTAGAAAACTCCATTTAGCGGCTCGCCAACGAGGGTATCGTCGTGCTGTTCGAATGTGACTTAAATAGATCGTTATATTTGCTTTGTGGGCTGTATCGCGGCGTTAATGATCCTATCGCCTGCGAGCGTTTGTCGCGCGATCATGTCGTTTCATAGCAGTCGTGTTGGGGCAGGCTTCCCTTGGGGGGGTGTGTTTGAATGTATCGACTGATCTACTAACTTTTAAAAAGAATTTTACTTAAAAGTTTACAGGCATTATGGTTCCAAAAGAAAAATTCGACTCTCGTAAAAATCGTTTGGTAATGGCTCGTGTCTTCCTCGATCATTCAGAGTCAAGTAGGACAAAATTTCGACACGCTATCCTGTGGGGGGAAATCAGGGGAACACAATGCCGTCGTTAAAAGTATAGGTCGTCGTGCTCATTTTCGAGAAAAGAAAAACAAAATTCTTAAAATTCGAGATAAAAAAAAATAGACTAGCCCATCAGGTAGATAGCGTGAAACTGCACAAGTATCACATAAGCGAAAATAGTTGTTAACGTCCTAGTTTCCGAGTTATTAAGGAAAAACCGATGCGAGCGATCGGTCCGACGTGTGAAATTTTCTAAGTTCCACTCGACTCCGAACGGTCGATCTGAAAATCAGCCAAAGGGGGGTGTGTAGGTCGATTGAAAAGTGCGTGGGGGCGATTGTCGTGTACGGTGTAAAACAGTAACGACCTCTTTGCAGCGACGACCTGCGCGTATCGTTATCGCTAGTATCATTACAAAGCGGCCAGCACATAATGGTCACGAACTCGTAACGATAACGACGTCGCAGAGCGTTCGCCCGACCGCACGACCGACTGGTTCCTATTGAAAGGGCAGAAAGGTCCAAAACGGACGCTGGACGCGCGATAATGCGCGAGAGAGCTCGTTTGACGATCTACAGGGCGAATCCCCTGGCCCTATTCGTCCTTGGTACAATTATTTACTCGCAAACGTACGTACGCGTGCGTGCGTCCAAGAGTGCACGACACTCCGGGGGATGCAGCTGCCAAAGGGCGTAGACGACGTCGATGCAGCGAGGCGTTGTTGAAATTTATGAATAATGTAGGGGAGTAATGTAGTTCCCTGGTAGTTCGTCGCGAGCATAGTCTTACGGAAATTTCTACGGGAATTCCAACATGGCTGTTGGTCGAATTTATTTCGTTTTCGTATCGTACGTTCGTCAGGGAATATTTATAAATTTATTCCATATTCTTAAACTATTGTTAGATGTTTTAGGGGGTTGGAATTCTCAGTTAGCTTTCGAGAGGATCCTTTCTTTTTAGAATATGTCGTCCGAATGTAATTAATTTTGGAACTCTTGGGGGGGACGATAGATGGTACTTTTAGGCGTTTACGACCCTGTTCTCGCGAGGCGCGTGGGGTTGGCATTTCGACAACCTGTTACGCTCTCCTTCAGGGCGTGGAAGACCTTCCCGTAAGAAGTGAAAAATTCTTCTACTTTGTTCCGCCCACCTAGCCCCGTACGAAAAGCCCAAGTTTTGCACGAACGAGGCAGCCTCGGAATGGTGGTGTAATAATTCAGTCGCCGCAAACATGCTCGCGGCCAAAAATAAACTACTATTTGTCATTGCGTCGAAAGTAAAAGTTATCGAACGTTGTTCCACCCCCTGTTCTTGATTAACATGGTTCGTAGAAGCGTGTTAGCGTCTCGTGTTGCAAAATCTGACGACGTGAAATGTGTCGTGTTGGTGGGGCTCGAGGGAACTTTAGAAAGAAAAGAGCAAAGGGGTCGAGGTGGAGGGCGATCGAAAATCGGTGGAAGTTTCAACCAGAGACGAAACGCGGAGAACGGTGATTTCGAGCAGCGGAGGCCACTCGAGTTTCTCCGCCAATTAGACGAAACAATCGTCCAGCGAACAGAAAGAGGAATTTGGAGAGCGCGGAGCGAGACTCTCGATTTGTTGACAAACCGTCGAGGGAGAAAAGTAAACGCTCGCGCGTCACACGATGGAGCAAACGGGGAAATGCTTTGTACGTTGTTACGTGGTAGATCGAGTGTAGCTAAGCGCCCGTTCTCGTTTAACCCGCAACTACGCTTTATGGACAACCGAAATCCATCGTTAATGTAAGACGATTTCACCATATCATTCAGTTTCACCCTCAGAATTTTTCCATTTTCATATCCATGCGTCCACAGACTCGCGAAATTTTTTCCAAGATCCAGAAATGCAATAGAGTGAGATCGGTCCATTTCTCGGTTACTCAAGTGTCTTGAGCCAGCAATAATTTTAAAAACACGAGTATCTGTAAAGCCTAGCTGAAAATTGGGTACGAAGATACCCCAAACACGAAGGCCCACGGTTTAAAACGAGGCACGCGTTTTACCAAAGGGTGGGGGGTTGGATTGTGCGATTCGAATCTTGATATTATACCATAATCTATTCGAAGGGATGATAGTGTCGGCGATGGCGGTTAGGGTCGGTTGCATGACTCGTAGTAGCCTCGTTCGACTTGCACGCCACCACCCGCCAATAAGCACCCCCTCGTATCGGGTTCGCGCAACCCTCCGCGACACTCGCTTCAGACACATGCCTGTGAACCGATACCCGGGGCTTCTAACGTCCTTGATTACGGTTGCACGCGTTCCCGGCGACGACGAGAGGGAGATGACGTTGTTGTCGCTTATTTGCTCTCCGGGGCGATGCAAAGGGTCCGTTGGAAAAGAGGAAAGGAGATACCGGGGCGAGCACAGCCCCCTCTCCCCCAGGGGCCATCGGCGGCGGAGGATAAGCGGCTAAGAGCAAAGGCACGGAGAAATAGAGCAAGGGGATGAACGACGACGCAGCTGATTTATGGGGTTCGCGACGCCGGACGAGTGGAACTGGATATCCGCCATGCTATCTCTTCGATTCGTCGTCGACCGTCTTTCCACGCTTCCACGACACCCTCGAAATGCGACATAAATTCACTCGGGCCTTCCTCCTTCGTTACACTCTCTTTTTTCGTAAGTGTCGATCATTATACAGAATACAAAAATATATTTCTGAAGTAAAAATAGTATACGAGAGCAAATATAATATTTTTACAGTCGAGTTGGGGAACAGTGCTCGTAGACCGAGATACCAGACAGAGTCACTGCTGGCCTCTGCCTGCCTCTGCATACTTCTCACATGATGTACAATAAGAGTATTCAAGCCTTGTATAATGTAAATCTTTGGCAATAAATGATATAATTTAACAGAATTCTATGTGTTCTCATCATTTTTACCTTTCTTTTCCTCTCCAAATCATTGCCTTAGTTTTAAGAGACCGTTTTTCCGGTTAAAATTGGATTCCCTAAGTGTCCAGCTCTCGTACTTGATGCCAAAATCAAAAATTAACTTTTAAATTTTGAAACAACTGGAAAGTCCTGAAACAGCTGGAAAGTCCTGGAACAGCTGGAAAGTCCTGGAACAACTTGGAAGTCCTGAAACAGCTGGAAAGTCCTGAAACAACTTGGAAGTCCTGAAACAACTTGGAAGTCCTGAAACTCATTGGAATTTTGGGGCCAGCTGGAAAGTCCTGAAACAATTGCAAAGCCCTGAAACAATTGGAAAGTCCAGAAACAGCTGGAAAGCCCTGAAACAGCTGGAAAGCCCTGAAACAACTTGGAAGTCCTGAAACTCCTTGGAATTTTGGAACCAGCTGGAAAGTCCTGAAACAGCTGGAAAGTCCCGAAACAGCTGGAAAGTCCTGAAACAGCTGGAAAGCCCTGAAACAGCTGGAAAGTCCTGAAACAGCTGGAAAGTCCTGAAATTTCTTGGAAACGCCGAAAATTCTTGGAAACTCTGAATTTTTAGCAAAGTTCTGAGTTTCAGGACTCCCTAGTGGGTTCAGGGAAACCAAGGAGTTTCAGGGAGTCTTATAACTAAGGTAATGATTTGGAGAGGAAAAGAAAGGTAAAAAAGATGAAAACACATAGCATTCTTTGAAATTATATAATTTATTGTCATGAATTTACATTATACAAAGCTTTAATACATGTATAATATATAAGAAGTTGTCAACAAAGGTGAGCAGTGGTCAGCAGTGGTCAGCAGTGGTCATCACTGGTCAGCAGGGGTCAGCAGGGGCATACAGAGGCCAGCAGCGGTCAGTGGAGGGCAGCTGACGTCAGGAGAAGTTGGCAGAGGACATCTGAGGGCAGGGGATGTTGGTAGAGGTCAGCAGAGGCTGGCAGTAGCCAGTAGTAATCGTTGTACGTTGCCAGAAATATACGGTGGTCAGCAGTGGTCAGCAGAGGCCAGCAGAGGCCAGCAGAGGCTGGCAATAGCCCGTAGTAATTGTTATACGTTGTCTGAAGTATCAGGTGTGGTCAGCGACAGTCAACAGAGGTCAGTGGAGGCCAGCAGAGACAAGCAGAGACCAGTAGGGGCACGTAGATCCACGCACTGGTCTGGTTGTCCAGGCGGCATGGGAGGTGAACCCCTACGTGGTGGGTCTTCAGGTGGTGGACAGGGACAGCCGCTGGGATGGGATGCGGGGATGGTGTCATCATCCTGAGAATGAGGCATCCCGGAGTACCCTCGGCCGCGAGTTGATCAGTTGGTCATAGGTGAATCCTGTGTGGGCTCACTATAGTTCCCGTGGGGTTTTAGCCGGTAAGAGTCCGGCACTACCCGCCGGCGGGTGTCCATGAGGATTTCCCCACGTATAGAAATAAAGGGCAGTCGAGATTCCAAATCGTATGCAGTTGACGTCAGGTCGGAGTCCAGTTGTTCAAGAGCGAGAAGGCAAATGCGAGCCTTCCTCTCTCGACTCCCACGAGACGGTCCGAAATTACTTTGGGCAGCTTCGGAGAATCGAAAAAGAGGGCAAGTGTCAGTTCGCCTTTGTCGACTCCTCGTAACTCTACGAGCTCACGTACGCGTGATCTGGCGTAGTGTTAGAAAGAGAAATGATGTGTCCACGGTGCGTCCGGGGCACCGTCTGGCATCATTGCTCCTTGATGAACGGTATATAATATAGAAATAGAATCGATTTGGAGACACATGATTTAATTATAATTCGTAAATCTGATAATAGAATTGTAGGATACTCCCACCCTATATTTGTAACATTTAATATCGATGTAGTCTGCAATCTATTTCAATATATCTCGCGTACTGGCTTTGTCTATTAATGTTTCTGATGCATGTAGTTGCCCTTCCCCAGTATTCGAGCCATATCGACTCGATATTTTTGTTGCGTCTTTCTGCATATTCAGTACAAGCACCGGTGCACCCGTTAATTATATGTTGTGTGTTTTCAATGCACCATAGCCGGGTAGGTCTCGCGTTATTGTTGGATCTTCGGTATTGTATTTTCTGTAATTTCGCGTTGCTGTTACCAGGTCCCTATATCGCTCTGTTTCTCGGACAGAGAATAATAATAACAACTATTATTATTATTGTATCATTAATGGCAGAACCCTTCGTTGGGAGCCACGCAGTATAGATACGAAACTACGAAATGAAAGAAAACAAAGTAGTCGTGGGCCTCGAGTTGCAGGGAAAATCGATAGCATTCGTTAGGATGTTTATGCGACGAATTTAATTTATCCGTAGAATTTTGTTCGAGATACTCTGCGAAACACGCTATCCAGCATTTCTAATGTAAGCTAGGACTCGAAATAATTTCGTAACAGACTCTGTAATGCTACAGAGATATCGAACCTGTCTCCCTGCGCTTCTCAATAGTCATAAATTCGAACGAGACAGCCTTAATTCGTAATTATGATATATCGGGCCGGGGCAACTCACGCGAGACGCAATAAGACGAATTTATGTCGCCGTTTCTCGATATCAGAGCGGTCGTTGAAATAAGAAAAGAAAATCCAACGATCGTTCTCGGCACGTGAAGTCGGAGCGAACGAGAAACCGTTTTGCATTATCCGGAACGCGCGTTACGAATTTTTCGAAGCGACGGGAAAACATGTATTTTTGTTGTTTAAATCCCAGTAAAAATTCGGCGTTTTAATACACCCCGTGACGATTCAATCCGAACAAACTTCGCGGACGTTTCGAGCGCTGTTTTCGACATATTTTTAAACGAAATCTGCTCGTCGTTGGTCAAGGGCGCTACCACCGCTGAACGATCGAAATTGAAAACGCGGATACCTCTGGATCAAGATGCGAGCGAATAACGGGTAAATCCGTTTCGCTCGCGGACAAAAAACGACGCAACATTTCGCGTTGGGAAGGGGAGGGGGAAAAAAGTTTCGATTGTTCTCATTTGTTACATAAACCGAGTTCCCGCCAATCAACGTGGCTACGAATCAAATTTCGAAAAATAACGGAATTCGATTTTCGCGTCGGTACGCGCAAACAAAAGGGGGGGGGGGCGGGGTTGGATTTTTGCTGGTCGAAAACTCGACGGTGCGTTTCCGGCGACGTCCGTCGTTCCACGGCGTACTCGCGCGTGATTTATACGCGTATGAACCACGGGGGCACCGATAATTACAGTAATTACAATTAATCAGATTTATGCGCGTTAACTATAAATCTGATTAGATCCGGTTACATAGGCACGATAATGGTTAAATCTCTGTAAACGCGCTAACCCCCGGGACTCTGGTCGAGTACAAATTATTGTGCGAACGCAGCGCAAACCGGCGGCCCCCATTGTTGATCGAATTCAACGCCAGGATAATGTTTGACACCGGACCATTGAAATCTCGACCTGAAAAGTCCTCCCACCTCCGGGTTACGTAAAGTCAATCGTACATTTTCGTCGATCCTTCGCAGCGTTTCGACAGCTGTGACCCCGGCAACAGCCGCGATCCTGACCCCTTATCGAAACGTTACGCGACCCCGACGCAGCTTGACTCTATATTTAACAACCGGAAAAGAGCATGGAGACATTTCAGAGAGGGTGCAACCTTTATTTTTCGCTACAATCGAAGAGAAGGTCGGAGAACATATAGTAATTGTTGAGGGGGGTCGTTGAGAGGTGGAAATAAGCAAAAATTGTAGTTTTCAGAGAAATATATCAAACATACACTGCTGCTGGAAAGTGATGATTAATAAAAAATAGTTTTGACACAGTCTGTAACCTTTATTTTTCACTCCAGTCGAGAATAAGTTGGAAAATGGTACAGTAATCGTTGCGGAGAACATTTTATTTAGAGATGGAGATAAAATTGTGAAATTTGTAGAAAAGTATAAATTGACCTTACTTCTGCAGTGTCAAGAATGCACTGCTGAAGAGATAGAAACGAATGGAAGTAACTACCAGTTTCTGAGAGGGTTTTTGCCATGTTACTGAAGAGGAGGATTCGATAGTTTTGGCTTTCTTCGAGTTCGAGCCCGTTCCTGGAGGCTCCCACGTATTTTCGCGGCTTTAATCGATCTTAGAACGGGCACTTCATAGGAGAACTATGTGTTTGGACGGACATAATTTATGGGATAGGTATATAGACCCTTGGGCTTCGCAAGGTGACCCCTTGGAGATCCTAATCCGCATCTTGACCCGGTACCACCTTCCTGACCCCGTTCGCCCCGGGCGTCTAACCGTGCTCTCGATCCCGCTGAAGTATAGGCTCCGGAGAAACCACTGATCTCTGGGGTTAATCCGAACGCGGTCGCGTTTTCCACTCGTAGCTCACCGTTAACGGCTGCAACGCGATAAACTTTTACTCGGGCTCCTTAGGAACCCGCCCTTGTTACCGATACACCTGCCATTTTATTTAAAGAATCGACAAAATTCCTCCTGTGTTTCGAAGAAGTTGCATATCACATCTCGTAATCGTACCCCTTAAAAATGACGATCGAACGATCTAGGTGCCAAGAAGACCAAGTCCAACAGATTCAGAAGATTCCAAAACAGACTCCAAAAGATTCTTTTGATTATTACAACAAGATAAACCACTGAAACTCAAACAGAAAACTCTTCCATCCCGTTTAATATCGAACGCTTTCCCAACGAGGCAGCGTTTTGTTTTCCTGTAAAAATTCGCGACGAGTCGAGGCACCCGGAACGGGTGATCGAGCAAAAGAAGAAAGTTGAAACGGGAAAAGTTTCGCGGGGGCGTCGAACCGGAGGGGGGGTGGGCGGAAGAAACGAAACGCCGGGGCCACACGCGATCCCCGTAACGCGATCGTTAAACGGTAAAGATAGAGTGGTCGGCAAACAGAGTGAAATTTCTAAGGGGGGGCGAGGTACGAATCGGTTAGCAAAGGTCGAACGGTCGACGGAGGGGCTTCCGGCGAAACCGGACCGTTGATCTTGGGGATTCGTCCTCGGATTACGTGCCTGGCTGAGGGGGATCTCGCCTGGCCTCGGTCTTGGCCCCGGATTCGGTAGGTCGGAACCTATTGCATCGCCGGGGGAACTCCATCTAGAAATCTCGATCGGGAACCAGCAGGATCCGAACTCGCGCGAAACGATCCCCGAAACCTGGACATAAATTTCACTCGTACGGTTATACCTTTTCATTTTCTCCGACGAATTCCACCGTCCACTTCGCTTTAGCCGCGATCCTCGCGTTAATCGAGAGCCACCCATCAAATTTCAACGCCCCCCGCTCGCGATTTTTCATTTGTTTATTTCGGAGACAATTTCGTGGACGTTGGTCTGTGTCGAGGGACAGGATTAAAAAGGATATTTGACCACTATAGTCAAGTATACACGTTGCTCACCTCTGGGAAAGATTTTAATGGAGGATTCTGAAGAGTAAAATGAGATGAGAATCAAGAATACCAATTTGTTGATCGAGACTTCGTTAAAATGTTATTGACGTTTAAAGAATAGCAATCGAACAGCTGCTATAGTGGTCCTCACTCACAAATCTGTAAGGCTGTCGATACGACACTAAGTAAAGTTTCTCATGCTAAGTGAGATTTGGCCTGATGAGGGGTGTATGTTTGACACTGTAAGGGGCAGGTAAATTTATATTTCTCTGAAAATTTCACTCCAAACAAACTATCCTCTTCAAGAATTACTCTACATATAATTCATCTTTCCTCTTTATTTTACCACACGAATCGAAACAGTGCCTTCTGGTGGTAAAAATAGAATCGCAAGACGTTTGGAATGAAATTAATTCGTATTATAGGAAGCTTGGATGAAAAGTAACGATAGAAGGGAGTTGCTCGAGGGCCAGGGCGGTGTAATAAATGTTTGATAACACCGGTCGGGATGAAAAGCGGCTACGAGGATGGTGCGTGTCGTCGTCGAGCGGGACAGGGGTTGCCAAGAGGGCAGATCGTGTGTTTAGCCGGGCGCATAGTTCGCATACCGAGCCTTCCTCGCATGGTATGTTATAATTAGTGCACCGGCGAGCTCACGCAACATTGATATGTCCACGAGCTTCCGAATACTTCCCTAATGAGATGGCTTCGTAAACAACGAGTTAACTGTTCGCGTGCCTCTTCAATCCGGCCTTTTTCCGGGGGTCCTCAACCCTCCCCGAAAATACCCCGGACCTCGGACCGTCGTCGTCGGAAAATTACGTTAGAAAATCGATTCGACCGCGCGCCGGGTACATTTCAAAATCCGGAAATTGTTCTCCGTAGTTAAATTGAATCCGCGCGCG